AGAACAAAATGAATTTTTGTTAATTATTCAATAACCATAAGAAATATACCCCACAAACTATATATATTTGTTATCAGAAGAAAATAACAAATTATTTTAGATCACAGCCAACTATGGTTTCCATTTAAAAAAATAAAGTTACGTCTAAAATCTCGAAAATAAAAGATGGGAAAAAAATTCTTCCTACGCCACTGAATTCTTCGTAAAAAGTTGCCCATATAATGTTTTATTTATAATACTCCATCGTTGATAATAAGTGAGATATTCGCTTTTTTTTTCACTTTTTTCACTTTTTGCCGATAGGGCGAAAACAAAAGACGATAGCTGTTCGGAGTTTTCGGCATTAGTATTTTTTCGAAAAACGAGATCATGACATGTAAGCTACTTTTTTTCTATCTCTTTTAGTTTCGGAGATAGCCTATGCGGACATCGAAATTGGGACACCCTGTACAATGTACCCCTTAATGAGCGAGATACCATCTCAGAAATTCAAAAAATTATTAAAATAGGAATAAACAATAACTTCAGTATCACCGAAATGCAAAACATATTTCAATGTCCACAATTCACACATTAATAAAATAGTATACTCACACAACAAATATACACAAAAATTCTTATCTATACCTTATCAACCTTCTTTGACTAAGGCCCACTTTTACCACCTCCTGATAAATTTATCCGATAGATAAATCCAGTTCTTAGGCTCGTTACTACCATCTTTTAGTTAAATTTATCTAACAGATAAACCCATCTACTAGCCAATGAGAGCGCGTAAAATAGCCGTAACCANACATTTGCTATTTGTTTTTCTCTCGTTAAAAAGGATCAACGAAAAACAGTGTCACTTAATGGTAAGACTGACTCGATCCTTTTTGCTCAGAATTTATTCTGTAATTCCTTTTAATTTTTATTATTGTTGCCAATGTTATAATACATATTTAGTTTTATTTTTATTATTGTAGTTTTCTCTGAGTCAATAAATATGTTTATTATTATTATTATTACCACTGGCGCAGTAATAAAATGGCGTGAAATGATGTACTTCGCGCTGGCATCAATGTGGTAGTCCAAATGTACTCCTTGGAACTGCACACGTTATTAACAAAAAAAAGCGAAAACATAGTTGCTGAGTTAGATCGTGAATTGCACGTAGAAATAACCTAGGTGCGTCTAGTACTTTAATTAGAGCATTATGCCATGAAAATCAGGAAGCATTTTTTAATCATTTAAGAATGACTTAAGAGAGTTTCATGTTTCTTTGACTACTACTTTATTACAATTTTTCATCATGATTTAGATAGATATTTTTATAAATTTAAGTCTGCATCATTCATTGCTTCCCGTATTAGTCGTCCAGTGTTATAATTGTCATCATAAGATGTGCCTTCTGTTCCTAATCCAAAAGCGGTAGATGAATCTTCCATAAAAAATCAACAGATATTTGAATTTGAATTGTGAAGCTGAAGGGATGCTGATAGTGAACTTGGCTGATTAAGGGCCGGTTGTACAATATACCGATAAAGTTCCCAACAGCGTTA